CTCACCCATACTGTCTCTCCCTCCTTAGCGTCCCCAAACCAAAGCCAGGCCCCCTCAGGCAGCTGGACCTAGCTCACCGCAGAGGCCCCCAAGCCCCAAAGAGACCAAAGCAGCCTCACCAACACCCCAGGATGATACAGATGTTGAGGGGGGGCAGTCAGGTCAGAGTGTGAGGGAGGAGGGTTGGGGTTGGGCCTCTGAGACTGAGGGAGGAGGGGCTGGGGCTGAACCCCTGGGTGTGAGGGAGGAGGGCCAGGGTTGAATGGTACATTATCAGATCCTAGGGCAATTGAGACTGGGAGAGAAGGTTCTAGTCTTCTCAGGAGACCAGGTACCACCTGGCACTGACTGATCTTCTACTTGCCAAAAGGAGAGGACAACGGGGCTGAGGATTCTGGGGACACTGAGGACGAGCTGAGGAGGTAGGCTGAGTGGAGTCAGGGCTGGGCTTCGGGGATGCTGGGACCTGTGTTGCGCATGCCCACTCAGCAGCCCTTCTCATCCCCATTCCCAGGGTGGTGGAGCAGAGAGACCAACGACAACTGCCCGGCCAGGGAGAGAATGGTGAGGACCCGTACGCGGGCTCCACCGATGAGAACACAGACAACGAAGAGCAGCCAGAGTCACCCGACCTGCCGGTTCCCGAGCTCCCAGGTGGGTCTCCTTCTGCCCTTCGTCCCTCCTGCCACAGGACTGTCAGTCCTTAGCTTGACTTGACTCAGCCAGCCCTGGGACCAGTGCCAGCCCCGTCTTCCTCCACCACCATCCAGGCCACCCCGGCTTCTCCAAGACCCCTTCCCCATCCCTTCAGCTCCCTCCCTGTACTGCCCCGCTTTGTCCACCTGGTCTGCCTCCTGGCCCCAAAGCCCTGTGCCAGGGTGACCCCTTGGACGTGCCCCCCCAAGGTGAGAGCAGCCAGTCTCTCAGCAGGTACACTGCTGTTGGACCAGTGCAGGGGCCGGGGGCCTGGACACATCACAGGGCCAGAGCAGTGCTGTCTGCTGGGACCCGGGCTGTGCACGCATGTGTTCATTTTTTTTTTAAATTAATTTATTTTTATTGGAAAGGCAGATATACAGAGGAGGAAAGACAGAGAGGAAGATCTTCTGTCCTCTGTTTGACTCCCCAAGCGGCCACAGTGGCTGGAGCTGAGCCAATCTGAAGCCAGGAACCAGGAGCTTTTTCCAGGTCTCCCACGCAAGTGCAGGATCTCAAGCCTTTGGGCTGTCCTTGACTGCTTTCCCAGGCCACAAGCAGGGAGCTGGATGGGAAGCAGGGTTGCCGGGATTAGAACTGCCGCCCGTATGGGATCCTGGCACATGCAAGGCAAGGAGTTTAGTCACTAGACTATTGCACTGGGCCCACACATGCTCACTTTAACATCAGTCATCAACCTGAACACTGGCCATGTGCAGGGGTTGGGGACCCCTGGGGACAGCACATCTTCAGGTCCAGACTGGAGGGAGAAGGCAGGCAGGTTTGGGCCACTGAGCAAGCTCTCACAGCCTGGTCTTTGTGGATGACGAGCGGGACGTGACCCAGAGCCCCCGGAGAGGCGTCAGCCAGTGGTCAGGAAAGGCATGCTAAGTGGGAGGGGGGAGTGAGGCAGGAAGGCACATGGGGCCAGTGAGAGAGTGGCACGTGGGAATGAGGGTGGGGGTCACCTAAGGTGGGCTCGCCAGCCCTGCCCTGTGTGAGAAGTGTTGCTGGAGCGCACTGGGTCCCTCACCCACCCGCTGAGCCCCGTTCCACCCGCTGGACCCCTCTCCCACCCACTGGTCCCACCCACTGGGCCCCTCTCCCTTCTCCTGGACCCCTCTCCTGCCCACCATCTGGGCTCACCTCCTTGTCTTGGTGCCCAGTTCCTGGGGACCTGGGGCGGAGCATCCAGTGCCTCCCGCTGCCTCCTGCTGCATCCCACTCTCCTACAGACTTCTTCCAGGGCAAACACTTCTTCCTGTATGGGGAGTTCCCCGGGGACGAGCGACGGAAGCTCATCCGCTATGTCACAGCCTTCAACGGGTCAGTGTCCCGAGGGTGGGCGGAAGGTGCAGGGGAGGGTGAGAAGGGGGCAGTCAGCAGACGGGCTGGGCCGCAGAGCCTGCCCTGCCCACCTGGCTTCTCTGCTGTCTAAAGGGGTCACCAGGAGTGCTTGTCGCTGTGTGGGTGCTGTCCCCGTGGCTGTGGTCGGGGCGAGCAGGAGTGCTGGCCGCCGTGTGTGCGCTGCCATGGTGGCTGTGGGTGGCCGAGCAGTGCCAGCAGGCAGGGTGGCTCTGGTCCCTGAGGTTCCAGCCGCCGCCTCTTCCCCTGCCAGGGAGCTCGAGGATTACATGAGCGATCGCGTGCAGTTTGTGATCACCGCCCAGGAGTGGGACCCCAGCTTCGAGGAGGTGGGTCCTAGGGGAGAGGGGAACGCCTTGGCACCCCTTGATTCTACCTTCCCATGTTGAATCCTCACCCTGACCTGCAGGCCCTGATGGACAACCCCTCCCTGGCCTTCGTGCGCCCCCGCTGGATCTACAGCTGCAACGAGAAGCAGAGGCTCCTCCCCCACCAGCTCTACGGGGTGGTGCCCCAGGCCTGAGCATAGGCATGCACACACACACACACGTACACACACGCACACACACGTACACACACACGTACACACACACGTACACGTACACACACGCACGCACACACGTACACACACACACGTACACACACACACACACACACACATACACGTACACACACACAGGAAGTGGGCTGAATAAAGACAGGTTTTGCAGCATCTGCCCCTTCTCACTCTGAAGTCTTCCAGACTGTCACTCAGCGTCTGCCTCCCCTCTTCCGGCCACGAGTCTGCTCCTGTCCTGGGGGCCAGGAGGCAGGACAGCCCCTTCCCCACACCACCCCTACTCAGGACTCTGCTGCTTCTCTCTGGCCCCATGCCGCTTGTAGTGGAAGCAAGGAGTGTCTGACAGTGTCACTCCAAGGCCATGGCGCTGGGAGCCAGCCTTGCCACGCAGTCTGCTCTGTGGGCCATAGGCTGGGGCAGCTGGGTATCTGTGGGCGTGGCCTGTGCTTCAGGGTTGCCAAAAGTTTCTGAGAGGGGGCACCTGCATGGTTTTGCCTCATGGTTTAGCAGGCAGGGGAGGGGACAGTCCAGTCCCCCAGATCCTGGGCCCTCTCTGAAGCTCCACTGTCTTCTGCAGGAGCTGAGGGTCACGAGCTGCAGGCAAGACTCGGCCCGGGCGGAAGCCAGGAAGTGGGGAGCATCCCGAGGTAGCGGGCCAACTGCTGCACCTGCAGAGGTGGCACGGCACACAGCAGCCACAAGGCCTGGGGCACAGGCTGGCTGATGGGTCACCCAGAGAACTGGGTGGGCAGAAAGAACAACACATGTGGGGCATGCTCCCACAGGTCCAGGGCTCTTGGCATGGGCTGGGCAGCCATCCCTCTGCAGGCCCAGAGGCGCACTGCTCTCGTCCAGCTCTAGAGGTCGCTGCATTCCAGCCCCACTCATGTTTAAACTAAAGCACAGCCCACGCACGGAGCATCACCTCGCCTCCCCAAGCATGACTCATTCCTCCACGCGTAAAGTTCCCTGTGTCACACCAGGTGCCCCCATACTGGATCTGGGATTATCAGCTCAAGCAGCCTGGGAGTGTGATAGAATGGTGGGGCGGGGCCGGGTGGACCAGAGGGAATGCCTGGGAGGACCTCGCAGTGTCCTGCTGCTCTGCAGGGACCTGGTGCAGATGAGGAGTCTGAGGCACAGCTGGCGGGCTGTGTCCCAGGAGCCAGCAGCCGTCAGGAGACTTAGGACGCCTGCTCGGCTGCTGGCCCATATGGCCACAGAGTACCCGGGGGTGGGGGGCATATCATTGTCTCCCAGGTCCTGAGCAGGTTGCTTCGTGGCAGCCAGTGGCCTGCTCGCTCCCGTGGGCCATCTCAGTGCCCGCTCATGAGCGAAATGTCCTTCTGTAGACTGTCTCCCTCTGACTCCACAGCTCTCGGGTCACAGCCGGGCATGCTCTGCCCAGAAGGGCCTCTCCTGGCTGCCCTGTGTGCGGCCACACTGGCGCAGGTTCCCCCAGCACTGTCTGTCCGCCCCAGCTCTGCACTGGTTTCTGGCCTCATTCACTTGTCTGTCTGCGGTTTATACTTTATCTCTCAGGAGACTTCCTCCATTTCTATGCTTATTGAAATAAGTCCTCTTTCTTTATGACTTCTGCTCTTCCAATTTAGCCTGCAAATACCAGAAACTTGTTGAGCATTTGGGGTGAGGTAAGGGCCTGCGTGCAGTCAGCAGCGTAACAGCCTTCAACAAAGCACATTTATTCCACTTAGGGAGGAGGCCCAGACCAGCCTGGGTGGGCGGAGCTGGCTTTGCAGCCTCAGCGGGTCTGGGATCCTTCTGGACTCCTGAGGCAGAGTCCCTTTCTCTGCTGCTCAGCCTCCGCAGGCTGCCCACAGCCTCGGCTCCTCTGTCATCCTTGTTCCCACAGCAGGGTTCTTGGTGATCGTGCCGGGCACTCTGCCAAAGCCCCTGGCCATGTGGAAACTAAGGCAGATGGTTGGGGCATCGTTACCTGCCTGCATGGGCTCCCATCTCATTTTGTTCCCTGTACCTCTCAGCCTCTTTGTTGATGGTGCCTCCTGGCCCCCATCCCACAGCAGGGGTCAGTGAGCAGGTGCCAGCGCCCGCCCTGGAAAACCAGCCTCTCTGTTGGCTTTGTGGAGCTTCACTGGCTCGCGGCCACGCCCCTGATGCACCTGCCATCAGGTGCGAGGTGGGTCATCGCAGCAACCCTGCACCACCTAGGAGCATAAGCCGCCGGGCCCTGCATCTGCCCACACGTGGGATTTGTCTCATCGACCCACAAAGGTCTGTTTCTGAGCTGGGTGCTTTGTTCCCAGGCCAAGGTCACAGGCTCCATCTACTGTTCTTGTGGTGGGGGAGGAAGCAAGGATGGGACGGGGCACTGATCCGCTATGTGCTGGCTTTTCCCCACCTAGACCACTCCCATCTGCATTGTGTACCACCAGTGTTCTGTGCACAGCACACCTGTGGGACACAGAATAGCCTCGTGCCTGTCACTTTGCCCATCCATGTGTCACGGGGAGACACGGGCTCCAGGAGGGGAGCTGCCTTGGCCTAGGACGCTGCTTGTCCCTTACAGGTACCCCCATGCCAGAGAAGGGACCGCGCTTGGCCAGGGTTCCCCAGTTTGCACAAAGTGGTTGGCAGTCAGGCTTGTATTTGAACTGTCTGTGCTGTCACCACCTGGCCGGCTCGGCTGTCTCCATGTCCGCACACGGCCCTGACAGCTGTCATTCAGCAGCTGGCCTCTGCCAACGCCCACTGGGCTGCTGACAGTCTTGAGCCAGACCATAAGGCTCTAGCAAGCACCTTTTTCACATGCTTAAAGTTTCAAATCCCAACTTACAGTTGTTCAAACAAGGACACTTGCATTCAGTCATTGGCAAAGGTTTAACCCCGGGTTAAACCTTTAACGAGCCGAGGGAGCCTGTTGGTATTTCTCACCAACCCAAGACCTGCATTGGCCCACAGCTCTCCCTTCCCATGGCAGGGGAGTCAAGGCCTTGCTTCGGTGCAAGGCAAGTTCCCCGTGCAGTCCTGGATGTCCCACCTGGCAGCAGAGGGAGGCTGAGCTCTCTCTTGCCCTGGCCCTTGGCCTGGTGGCCGCGCTGGTGGAGGAGCAGCAGGCATCTCTGGCCAAAAGCCTGGTCACAGCTGGAGCACCGATGGCGGCCTGAGGCCTGGCCACCGGCGCCACAGGAGGGTCGTGGCAAAGGCGGTGGGCGGCCAGCTTGGAGGGAAAGGAGAAGGCTTTGGGGCAGTGTGGGCAGGGGTAGGGGCGGGCGTCTGTGGCATGGTGCGTGTGGCGGTGGGCCGTCAGCTTGGAGGGGTAACAGAAGGACTTGGAGCAGTCGGGGCACGGGTAGGGGCGTGAGGGGGCGTGGGTCCAGAGGTGTGCAGCCAGCTTGGAGCGGTGGCCGAAGGCCTTGGGGCAGTGCGGGCAGGGGTGTGGGCGGGCGTCTGTGGCATGGTGCGTGAGGCGGTGGGCAGCCAGCTTGGAGGGGTAGGAGAAGGCCTTGGGGCAGTCTGGGCACGGGTGGGGTCGGACTCCGCCATGCGCCAACCGGTGTGTAGCCAGCTTGGACGGGTAGGAGAAGGCCTTGTCGCAGTCTGAGCAGCGGTGTGGGCACTGGGGAGGCGGCCGCCGGCGGGGCCGGGAAGGTACGACCCCCAACACGGTGGGCTTCGGCGGAGCTGAGGAACAGGAGGGCTGGTGGGCGCCAGGAAGCAGCCAGCGGCTGCACGTTCAGTATTGAAGGGGTCCCCCTCCAGTGCACACGGATTCCACCATAGGCATGTCCCTGCCCTCCATCCCTCTCTGGACCCTCAAAGCGACCGCCCCCCCGAGAGTTCCCCAAGCCCCAGCAAACGATTACTAAGGGTCCCCCTCAAAGATGAACAAGGACTCCCCAAAAGCTGCATCTTGCAGGATCCTGGTCCTTGCCTGGCCCCGCGATCTCCTGCTCTGAGACCCCAAAAGCCTGATTCCCTTGGTCTCCGCATCCCCCTCCCTCCCAGAACGTACCCCGTCCCTGCGGGCCATGCTCATCTCCTGCTTGGGTCACGGGTCCTGGGCGGTGGAACCGGGATCGGCGGCCCCGGCAGCGGGCTCCGTGCCTCCCTCCGGCATCCTGCGGGATACAGGAACCTAGGGTGGGCGTGGGGCGACACTGACGCGGGTGGGAGGGTGGGTGGGGCCTAAGCTACGGTGGGTGTGGCTATGAAAATATACACAGGTGCCACTTTGACCCAAGCTGGTGGGGACTCTAGAATCCAAACTCAACAGCAGAAACCCACATTGGAGTGGGCGGGACTCAGGGCATGGTGGGCGTGGCTGCAGGAGCAAGAATGAAGCCTACAGGTCTGAGGCCCGGGGACGGAAGGGGCGGAGCCTGGGGGTGGAGTGGGTGAGCCAAGGGAACTGGGGCGGAGCCAAGCGCGGGCAGGACTGACCGGCACCGGCCGCCCCGAGCTCGCGCTGCCGAGGCGGCGTCCAGCACCGGAGGCCCGTGTCCGCCCCGCAGGCCCTGGCCTCAGCAGGGGGCGGGGACCGCAGACCCGGAGCGAGCCTGCTCCCAATGAAAGGCGCGGGATTTGCATAAACGCTCGGGCCTTGGCTCGTCATTGGGTGATGGCGGCCCAGGTCCCGCCCCTTCCCCCGTCCCCTCGGTGCCGGGTCCTGCTGGCACCCTTCCCTGCTCCGAGCTTTGCAATCTGGGGCTCCAGACACTTTCTAGGCATCAGGCCAGGCGTCTCTTTCTGGGTCTGTTTCCGCCATCTGGAACCTGGAGGGTGGGAGGGTCCAAAGCCAGGAGCCAGGGGCTTGGGCCGCGTCTCCCACGCAGGTGCAGGTCCCAAGGCTTTGGGCCGTCCTCGACTGCTTCCCCAGGTGGCAAACAGGGAGCTGGATGGGAAGTGGAGCTTCTGGGGCATGAACCGATGCCCATATGGGATTCTGGCATGTCAAGGTGAGGACTTTAGCCACTAGGTTACCACACCAGGCCCTATGCTTTGTTTTATAAGATATATCTAGTGAGGAGGGTGGGGTGTGTGGGGAACTGGAGACAGTGCACAGAGCGGAGTGTGTGTGTGTGTGTGTGTGTGTGTGTGTGTGTGTGTGTGTTGGGGGAGGCACATGCTGTGTGCATGGGCCTGCCTTCCAGCTCTTACAAATGCTACGGTCCATCTTCCTCAGGGCTTGTTTCTCTGATCCAGAGTCCAGAACAGAGTTCAACACGTAGCCAATGCCCTCTGAATCGGTGCTAAATAGAAGCCTACAAGAATAAACAGCCACTGACCCCCGGAGGAGGAGCCACAACTTTGAAAAGAAGTAGCACTGTGGTGATAGGACTTGGAAAGGGAGAAGGAATCAGGGAAGGCCTGTAACATGTTTGTTTTGTTTGAGATTTATTTATTTATTTTTAAAGATATATTTGTGTATTTTTTTGGGGGGAGGCCCCCCGGTGTAATAGCATAGTGGTTAAAGTCCTGGCCTTGAAGGCACCAGGATCCCATATGGGCGTTGGTGCGTACCCTGGTGACCCCACTTCCCATCCAGCTCCCTGCTTGTGGCCTGGGAAAGCAGCGAAGGACGCCCAAAGCTTTGGGACCCTGCACCTGCACGGCAGACCTGTGGAGCAGCCAGCATACAAACTGATGCCCGTATTGAATGCCAGAATTGCAGGTGGAGGATTAGCCAATCCAGCTGAGCCATCACACCTCACCCATCTTAGCACACACCCCGCAGTGCTGCTTTGTCCTCTTTGCAAGCCCTGTGCTTTACTTTATTCCAAAGTTGCAGAAAGATAAAACAATAGCAGTGCTCTCTGAGTCAGCATAGAACAGGCTGGCCTCAGCAGTTGGCCACTGGAGGCCCTGCTCTTCCTGCCCCACCCTGCTCCACCCTGCTCCTCCCAGACAATTCTGAAGCTCCAAGCCAGACCTCACAGCCACGAGTGCCTTTTTATTACACTGTGTTTGCAACAGAATCTCAACAAGGCCCACCCCTTGTTTTTCTTCACTGTGATCTTTAGTCTGCTTTGCAGTGACATTTTTTGAAAGATTATTTTTATTGGAAAGGCAACTTTATAGAGAGAAGGAGATACAGAGAAAGATATTCCATTTACTGGCTCACCCCCCCCGCCCCCCCGCAAGTGACTGCAATGGCCGGTGCTGGGCCGATCCAAAGCCAGGAGCCTGGAGTCTCTTCCAGGTCTCCCACACAGGTGCAGGGTCCCAAGGCTTTGGGCCGTCCTCGACTGCTTTCCCAGGCCACAAGCAGGGAGCTGGATGGGAAGTGGGACCGCTGGGATTAGAACTGGTGCCCATATCGGATCCCAGCGTGTGCAAGGCGAGGACTTTAGCCACTAGACTACCATGCCTGGCCAATAAATCAATCTTAATAGAGAAAGAGAGAAATTTGTTTTAAATTTTATTTTTAAAAATAATTATTACATGGTTAATCAGGGTGGGAAGAATCAATGTTTAGGGAAAACTGGGTGAATCTGTTACTTACAAATTTGCCAGTTCTTGTTGTTCCTGAGGGAAGGGGTGAAACAAAGGGGAAAACCACTCCTGACTTGCCACACGTCCCAGCACCCAGGGATGAGGCACCGCCACCTCATATCAACCCAGACTCTCCATGTGCGCATATTCCGAGGTTCCGTCCCAGTGGTTTGGATAGTTCTGGAATGCTGCCGATTTCACCGATCCGAGGATGACGTCACCCTCCCAGTGTCCACTGGCTCCTTTCATCGAGATTATTTGCTGTCTTGGTTTACTTGGGGTTGTTGTCCAGTTAATTCTTCAGCTACAGCACCAAATGTGCTGCCTTAATCTCGTTTTACATCAGGGGCTGTGTCCACGGCTCCACCTCTTTTATTAAGCAGGGCATGTTCTTGCAGGCGAGTCCAAAAGAAAGAGAGGCAGAATGACAGAGAGAGAACGAGAGACAGAGATCTGTCTCTGCAGCTTCACTCTCAAACCGGCTGCAATGGCCAGAACTGGGCCAGCCCAGCCGCGAGCCAAGAACTGCTGTGGCTCTTCCGTGCGAGTGTCAGGGAACCTGTGCTGCTTACAGGACACCCATGTCCAGGTGGCGACTTAACCCACTGCACCACGATGCCCTGCTCCCTTTTGTTGGCATTTAGAAGGGCAGACCAAAAGCCACAGGACCAGTGGGGTCTCAGCTATGTGCTAATTACAACTCTAATTGCTAGTATTTTTGAGCACCTGTTCTGTTCCAGGAAACGGTCCTTAAATGCCTTACTGTTTGTCATCCCCACAGAGGTGCTCCTGTGATCCTTCCTGTACCGAAGGGAGGACAAGGTCACACAGCAGGGTCCCCGCCAGGAAGTAGCTGGGGCAGGATGGAATTCCGGCCCTGAAGTGCCATCCCAGCCAGGAAGCAGTCCCTGCCTTCTTGACTGGGGCAGAGGGCAAGGCAGCAGACAGGTGCCGGTTTGCAGAGGTTAGAGAGCAGGGCTTGGAATGACTTGGGTGGGTGTGGCCATGGGAGAAAGGTGCCCAGGATGGTGTGACAAGGTCACCAACACTCCCCGCAGCCTCCACCCCACCCCACGTGGAGAAGCCAGGCTGCTGAGTGGGCCTTGTCCAGACCTTTCGAGAGGAAGTGCTTCCCACACCACTAGGAAATTAAAACCCAACAGATATTCTTAATTGAGGTCACAGGGCTGAAAGGTATGTGATTGGCAGAAAGGCTCAGGGCAGGATGTGCCTCTAGGGCACAGGTGAAAGCTCTAGAAATGGCAAGGAAGCAATAAGATGGCCCCAGGACGAGGACCGACTTACGTGGCACTGCCAGGAAAAGGTGCTCCAGGGCCGATCTCCCTAGCCCCTCCAATCCCTGCACCTCCCTTGTCCCAACCCTTCCTTCCCCTTGACTCTCCCTACCAACCAGACTGGGGTCCCCAGCTTTGGCTAGTTTGGGGCCCAGCATTCAGGGTCCCCCCTTGTCTGCAATCAATGGTCTCTTCTTGGCCTGTGTCCCCCATCCTGACCGGCTTCCTCTCTCTCTCCAGATCACTCTGTCCTTTAATTGCCCAGCCCCCTCTCTCCGGGGGCAGGAGACAGTTAGGGATTAACTGGGGAAGCTGAGAAAGGCGAGTTGTTCTCCAATTCTGGCTCCCTTGCCCTTGAGGCCAGAGGCAGAGGACTCCTTGAAGTTGAGAAAAAGTAGCAAGTTTAAAAAAAAAATTACACTCTCCCTCTCCCCCTTTGGGAGCCCAATTGCAAGTTGGAACATTCACTTAGAAGCTGTTTACAGATGATAGGGGCCAGGTGGCCCCGGCAACAGGTGGAGAACTACTAGCCCCCCACCAGCCCCTGCGTCCAACACCAGCTCATACAAAATCATAGCCCTCTTGGGCCTGGAGTCCCAGCCTCCATCTGAGCTTTAGTTCCTGGTCCACTTCTGCTTTCTCTCTCTCTTCCTGTGAGGATTTATTTACTTGAAAGGCAGAATTAAAGAGGTGCTAACTGGTCTTCCATCTGCTGGTTCATTTCCCAAATGATCCCCAGTGGCTGGGGCTGTGCCAGGCTGAGGCCAGGAACCAGGAACTCCGATCAGGTCTCCCACATGGGTTCAGGGACTTCAGCACTTCGGCCGTCCTCTGTTGCTTCCCCTGGATATAAGCAGGAAGCTGGAGCACAAGCAGAGCACGTGGAACATGAACTGGCACCGTAAGGGATGCTGGCACCACAAGTGGTGGCTTGACCCAGCTCACCACAGCACTGGTCCACCTCCCCGCTCTTAAGTGGACTTTCCCTATAAATAAACTATTGCTGTGTGAACTTCTGTCTGTGTGAACTTCATCCAAGTCCCGCAGGCTCAAAAGTGCACCTGCTCCTTGTCTTTCAACTCTCCACCAGAGTCTCACACAAACTTCCTGCAACGTGAACAAAACAGAACCTTCCATTGCAACTCTGATTCCCCAAGGAGAGGCCCGTGTGAGGAGAGGCCTGTGCGAGGAAAGGCCCGTGCGAGGAGAGGCCATTGCGAGGAGAGGCCCATGCAAGGAGAGGCCCGTGCGAGGAAAGGCCCGTGCGAGGAAAGGCCTGTGCGAGGAGAGGCCCGTGCGAGGAGAGGCCCGGGTGAGGAGAGACCCAGGG